ATTCTATTAATTTCGTTGATTCAAGGTTAATCAACAGTTGTCAGGGAGCACATGCTGCGTGTATACGTTAAAGAAGCAAACTAGTCAGGTTAGATGTCTGAAAAGTAAGGGGGAGAAAAAAAATCAAAGGACTCCACCAACAATCTATATAATTATCATCATCTGCTGCCTTTCCTCCCTGGCAGAAAAACACTCCATCCATTTGTAGAAATCGCCCGGGGGAACGTTACATCAAAACTAATCATAACGATTAAAATCAGCTTCTCTGCGAGACCGAGGCAATAGGCAAGTTGGAGGCAGGAGGGGTGAGGGTGTTGTAAATGCAGAAAGAAAAAAAAATATTTGATTTTATAAAAACATAAACTCAACAAAGACTGAGGCACTGCTGCTGTGATCTCTTTCTTTGCTCGCGGTTTTATTTTGCAGATTGGTTTAGACTGGGGCAGAGACATGAGCTAATTGTATCCTGATCTTTGCCTTGAGGGGTTTCGGAGCCCTGGAGCAAGTATTCTCTGTATTTTGTTCTGTCTACCTTAGCCAAGCTATTGCATTTCTCACTGGTGTAGGAACAGAGGCAGATCGTGGGCCAAATCGGACGGAAAAGGTGCCCAAAAAGATACTTTATGCCGCTCTATGTTTCAGGTAAGCGAAGATTTATTTGGTTTGATTTTATTCCCGAGGTTGGATGGACTGGGACATAGAGGCGCAGCAGCTTTTACGCATGTGCCAAGCGATTCGAGCGGTACAGTTCTTAAAAAATATTTAACCACTTCCTGGCTATTGTCCCTTACTTACTGTACAAATGTATGCGCGTGACTACAATGTAGGACGTTCTGGTGCATCCAATCTAAACGAACAGCGGGCTCAGACTGTGCTCTTGTCGAGCAAAGACTCTACTTATCCACCGTGTGAATTCGCTCCTGGCGCGTTTCAGCTCGGAAAACATCGCCGTCTCCGTGTCTGCTGCTGCTGTGCAACTTGCTTGTAACTTACTTAAACCCGCGTTTGTCGTTTTCGTAAAGGTTTTTCGAAGTGAGTTTTGTCGTGAAACACTTCCATTTCCTGGCTGCCCTAGATCTTCTAATGAAAGACGCCATTGTGGAGTAATTTTGCCGAGGGCGTATTTCTTATTCTGTATGACAGGATGTACCTTTTACACACGTCAGTGCGGAATCTGTGAATCATCCGTTAATGCAAGCCATGTCCGCGTTATGAGATTCACATTTATGCATTTAAAGACGAAAATAGGAGCGAATTTAGTCTTTAGTCTCATCGCTTTACGACCGCGCCGTGCGTAATCAACTCCAAGGTCCGGATGCGAATCGGCACAGATATACTTACTCAGTAGTAGTAACAGTATCGACTTATTTCGCCTGTAGGACTATACTTTGTAAACAGACATGTACTCCGTTTAAAGTGTGTACTTTCTACAGTATTGCATGTGGTATCCTAAAATATAAAGATTTTTTTTTAAATAAAATAAAATAAAAGATTGTGTTTGATTACTAAACATCTACCACTGGACCCCAGGGAGAATACTCAAATCCAGCTCTGGTCACCTGTAATGAAGCCCTTAGCCAGTTTCACGAGTTCCAGGGGGTGAATGAATAAAGAGAATGGTGGGACTGAGATGTTTGGTTGTCAGGACCGATCACCTGATGGCGCTGTTAAAAAGGGAAAGGGGGGAGGGGGGGGGAGAACTGTATATAGGGCTTCAGTTCATCTGTTTCACAGTGACAGTAGATTTACAAACAGAGCTCTGAGCTGAAAGAAGACACTTAACAAAACAGGCCAGAATCGCATTAGTGAAACTACAGGATCGGTTTGAACTTCATCTTTGCTTGCTCTCGATTGGAACACTGGGAGAGAAATGCTGTTATTGTATTTTTGTAGTGGCTCTGCCACTCCTGTGCCCTGGGATAGTTTGCTCTATGCCAGTGAACATGCACTACAGTCTCTAACAGCCTGCGGCTACATAGCACTGATCACACTTCCTTATCTGTGATGTCATGCTGATGTACAGCTCCAGTAACTCCACAAAGAATCGTTTTCAAGTAGATTAGTACGTCTGAGAAAACTGAGGGAGTAATTGTGTGTTCCTGGTTGATAAATAAGTAAGCACTACTATGGCTTGTTTTATAGTTACCAGCTGTGTATGAAATTCTTGATCGTGTGGAGAATCAAAGCTTATCCGGACCACCGTGCTCTACTGGAAATGATTATTTTTATGCAAGTTACAGCCAAAAATTGAAATGGTGACTACACATAAAATCAACAAGATGCTTTAAAGTACGGTACAGGTTTGCATAGTATGTTCAAATGTGGTGATGTGTTTGTGTTTGTGTGGGCAACCTCTTCATTCTTTCATTTAATGCCTTAGTACTTTTTCATACTAAACACATCTCCACGGGTCATTTGAAACATACCAAATACTCCCTTTACTGTTAAGTATAAGACGTGGAGTCAGTTTGAAGACAAAGTCTCTGCAGTCATTGTTCAGAACTTATATGCTTATGTCAGTTGTCATCAAAGAGGGGAGATGTGAAAACAAAAACATTAATGACAATGACAAAAGTTTTATTGAAATGCGGTATTTTGGCTTTGCTGCAGCATGCAGTTACTTTATATTTACAAAGTATACAAAGTCCAGTGGGATATGCATTTGATCTAGCTTACAGTTTTTACCCAAACCATGCTGTTATAACAGTTCATCATTACCTTTTTCATATATATTTTATATATACAGCTAGCGGCAACTGATGTTAACCCAGAGTTTGTAGTTGTCTGTGTATGGACATTTCAAACAAATGGCCACAGGCAACAAAGCAGAGACAACCCATCCAGATTATGTAAATACCAGTCTGCCTGCCTTGAACTGAATGTTAATGCTCTGATCTGAAATGCTAATTGTATCTTGTGAGATATGTCGAAACAGTGAAGAGTTGCATTCTGGGATGGCCAACTTAAAGTCAGTCTGTTACATATGCTGAACCCCAGAAGGCCCTTCAATTATTACAACAGCAGACAGATCCTTGCTTTCTATGTTTTTGGATTAATTATTAGTGGAACACATACCCTGCTATTTCTTACTAAATATTCAACCTGAGCTACTGTAAGGTGTTAGTTCCTTAAAGTTTGAAGAAAGATGGTCTTGCATTAAAGGCCTGAAAGAAAACTGGTGAAAAACAACAGAAACAAAAGGGAGTAGCTCGACTGCTCCTGGCTTTGATGCTCTGCGCATGTTTTAGATTTGTTTGTGCATACTGTGGTGCAACAAAATTACACGAGCTGGATAAACGAACAGATTCCCTGAACACATACGTTTTGACTTCTTTCGCAAACATCCTAACATGCATGGGAGACTTCTGTAGCGCTGTGCCAAATTCAAAATGGCAACAGGTTGGAAAAGCGCTCGTGTGGCACATCTCAGGATTCGTACTTGTAGATTCTGAGGACGCTGTGACCTTTGAACTGATTTTGAGCAACGTAGACACAGGTCCGACTAAAGGTTCACGACACGTCTTTATTTCCAGCAACTCGGGATGATTTTGTGATATGAGAGCTCATTCCCTCAACTGGCTCCCTCCAGCTCCCAACCCTCCACTTCCCACCCACCCAACCACCCGTTCTCTTTCACTCTCTCTTCTTTCTCCCCTGCAATTTTCCATAATGCCTCACAGATTTTACACTCAATCCACCTTTGCAATGACAAGGCTTTGAGGAAATCCAATTCCACCAAGCTGTTTTCAGAACTTACTCTCCACAGGCACACACTTTCTCTCACTCACTCTCTCTCACTCACACACACGCACACACCACCATCTCCACAAATTAGTCAGGGAACAAATTACCTGCATTCTGAGTGTGATCCCACGCACTTTGCCGGCTGCCTTACACAGGTCCCCTTTTGAAGAGCAGCCATGTGATTTCTCTCTCTTTTGCCCCGCAGGCCCCTTTGCCTTCTGCGAGGGATTCTGGAGTTGAATTTTAAAACTATGTATGGCTGCTGCCTGCGCTTATCAGCGCGTGCACAAGTGGCATGCAAATCAGACCAGGATCACACACCGCATTGGAGGCCTACACTCAAAGGCAAGCTTAATTGCTAATTGGGTATCTAGGTGTGAAACTCACACTGCCAATGAGAAACAGGAATGTGGATGTTTTAAGGCCAGTGGTTGAACTAATTAATTTTAATCTGAATGTTATTAAAAATTGTGGATTCCCTACATTTCTTCTGCGGGAAAAAAAAAACAACCCAGGAGAGTGCTGTGGCAGTACTTTTAACCGCAATTGGACATGTTGTGGTCTGGTTTTATACTCCACGATATCATTAGTGTGGTAGCTTTGCAATGCTGATGTGGTCACTGGAGGTGGTGTTAACACCACACCGCAGCGCTTACACTTGTCAGACACAGAGCCAGGGAGAAACAGATGAAGAAGTTTTATAGCTGCTCTGAGGGTCACACCGTTGATTTGAAGGGGTGTTAGCTGGTACTTCACATGCAGTGTTTCTTTGCTGACCTCAAGGACGTTTAGATATTGATAACATCTTGCAGCCTGTAAATAGTGAAGAGTCCTTTCCCTTAAAACATCATATTCAGAATGCATTTGGTCATCTAAAAAATAAGAGTGATGTTCCTGACTGCTTTTGTGTGACTGGAAAGCGCACAATCAATCAGGTGCTTATGGCTGGTAAGTGTGTGTATGGGTGGGGGGAGGTTGTTTTTTTGGGGGTTTTTTTTGAATGGGCTATTGCAGGGGTGTTTTTTTCTTTCTTTTTTTTTGTCCATGTGATTGAGAAGGTTGGCCACTGTTTCGGCTTTGTCACAGACTCAACTTTGTTCGACTGATGTGTTGGAAGGCTGAACAAAAACTGCTGCTGAACAATGGGCAGCAACGTGTAGGGTGGGGGGAAGTGGTCGCGCGTGGAAACACTGCTCCGAAAAGGGGGGCAAAGGCCAGCTGTTCAAGGTCCAGATGTTAACCCAAATCGCATCATAAGCAGACGATCGCATTTTGCAGGCTAAGGCAGGATTTGTTTCATTCCGCGAAAATGCGACACACATACCTGCCACTGAAACAGCGACAGCCCAAAAGAGCCGCGGGCGCTACAATGCTAATGTTGTCGGGGGCTTTGACTTCTCCCAGCCACTGCAAAGAAGCCGCTCCGTGTGACAGCAACGGCTTTCGCTCTCACCCCCGGTGCTCGCTATTTTTTTCACGCCTCTTCATTTTTGGCAGGTGTGTTGGAGAGGGTGAAAAAAAAAGCCTCACCGCTTTCTCCTATCTCTTTGACCCTAAACGTCTGAGCCGTAATGGACGAAACGGATATCATGGACTTAACGCATCAGAAGGCGAGAAAGCGTCCCCGTCCAATCAGTTCCGTGGATGAGTCCGTGCACGCTTCCCTCAAACGGCTCCCGATCCGAGCGGCGGAGTGCAGGGAGAGCTCGCTGATGTTCGCTGTCAGAGGAGAGCCCGTTCCCGCAGCATCTCTGAAGCAAAATGACCATTCGGTGACTTCGTCTCCAACCACAGTGATGCCGGCGCAGGTAAACGCGTAAAAGTGTCGTGTTGTCTGGGGAGGGGGAGAGCGATTTAACTTTCGACTTTATGGAGCGAAGTGCTGGACACTTTGTTTTTTGGTAGTTTTGTTTTTTTTTTATTTACCGAATCGAAGAAATCATCACCTCGGTGCCCTCAACCGTAGACTGCGCACACTGTGTCAGATAGTCCTTCCTGTGCAATATACTGTAAAATGTATGTGTTGAGTTCACGGTTTTGTTTTTATTTGTTTTGTTTTTTAAAGCAGATGTGTCTAATGTCCTGCTCACTCCTTAGTGATCGGGACACTTTTGAGGTTTTCTCCAATCTTCACTCAAACTTTTTCGGGTATAAAGTCATTTTTCATCTCAGAGCTTAACAGAAATCGTCTCCTAATGGTGTTTGTAGGTTATCGTGAGACGTTATTCTCCAAATCCTATTATAGTATTCAAATCAGGAATCATTATTGCTCATTTTCATGACTGAGATTGATGCTCCAAATTAATTTGGTTTTGGAGATTATGGCCCACAGGAGTGGATGCTTGTGGATTGTGGCAACATTCAGGTCAAGGTCGGGCTGCTCTATCTTGCACAGAAAAGGGTAACAAGAAAAAAACCCACCCTTGCTCTCCACTCCTGACTGCAGAATATATTGGATAAAGAAATGCACAGATTGTTGTCTCTTATTAGCCTTTCTTTCTTTTTTCTTTCCTAATATACTAATTTTTTCGATCTTCCCTAGAGTTGTTTTAATTGTCTGTTTCATTTGCAGCAGAAGATTACAATCTAATGTGTCTTCCTACATGCATTTCCTTTGTGCTCCCTCAGGATAATCGCTCCAGCATGTCCAGGCCCATGATCACACGGTCACCGGTGTCTCCCTTGAGTAACCAGGGCATCCCAACACCTGCTCAGCTCACCAAGTCCAATGCTCCTGTGCACATCGATGTAGGTGGGCACATGTACACCAGCAGTCTGGCCACCTTAACAAAATTTCCAGAATCTCGGTGAGTTTGCCCTGCCATACAGATGTATTTTAAGTGGAGGGGGAAGGTTAAGATCCAGGGTCAGGGGTAACCATTTGTGGCAGGATTTTTGCATGTATTGTGTGTTTTACAGGGATGTTTTCTGATGGAGCCTAATGTTTTTTTTGTCAGAATTTCCTCGTAGTTTGTTGTTTATTGGTTATTGTTGTAACGCGACGGTCAGATGTCACATTTTGTAAAACTCTGCTATTTTAAAGGGGTAAACAATTTGTGAGCACTTTAAGTGCAGAATGCAGAGAGCAGACAAAGGCAACTTGGTTATTCTGACAGATGTCACAGCGGCAGTAAAGAGCCAAAGGGCATGGAGCCATCTGGAGGCTGGGAGGCCACACTGTCGCTCCAAGCACAGGCCCGCGGGTGACTGCCTCCCTGCCTCAGGCAACCAAGCACCAGCTGGCCTTGACCTCTCAGGACCTTCTTTCTTTCTTTCTTTCTTTTTTTCTTTCTTTAAGACAGATTTAGTGAGATCAAGTTTAGGTTTTAAAAATTGTTACAAGTATTGTTTGTGAGTGTAAAAAAATACACTGATATGTTGTCCTCCTTCTTCCTTCCTTACCTCCCTTTCTGCTTAAATCACCACCCCTCCTCTCTCTCTCTTACGGGCAGAATTGGTCGTCTCTTTGATGGCACAGAGCCTATAGTCCTGGACAGCCTGAAGCAGCACTACTTCATTGACAGGGATGGACACATGTTCCGCTATATCCTCAACTTCCTCAGGACGTCCAAGCTCCTCATCCCCGACGACTTCAAAGTAAGTTGATGCCCATCCTAGAAACTGTAAATTCCCATCAGCCAGTCAGCAGTCCTACAACTTAACACACACAATGAATGCTAAGGCCGTGGAACGCCTTTGGTCACTGGTCCTCCCTGAGTTACTGAAAATGGTTCACATGCTGGAGAGAAAATATCAGGGCTCTACCAAACAAACCCCAATTGCAAAGCATTTCCTCATCAAGAGATGCAGTTTGATTCCTTCTAGCTACAAACTGGCAAAGATTCTTTTGCAATACATAAGTAAAAAAGCAGGCTCGTACTGAAACAATTATACTGACACCCATGGCCATACGATATCCTTTTTTCTGCAGCTCTCTGTGTTCTTGTGCCAAGTGTCCATCCAAGGTGCCTGTCACTGTATGTGGCACATAAGCAGCCCACCCCCCACTCAAATAGTTAAGCAATAATTATTGAACTTGCCCTGGGAGAAAACAAATAACCACATTATCAGATGGACTGTCCACTGTGCAAAAAGTATGTCAGTTAAAATAAGCAGAGGCAAAAGACAAGACCAAGTTCAGGCTAAGGCCATATGCTCAGTGAGTAGATGTTGAGAGGATCATGTGAAAACTGGAATGTGGTGCAGTTTAGGCCCTGCAGTGCTGTGAGTAAAGGCTCTGCTCCTCTAGCCCATGCAACCCTGTGTTACACGTCGCCCTGTATCTTCTCTACTTTGGATCTTTTGTAATTTTTCCTGAGTGGTGTCTCGACTAGGGTTTATTGTTCATTCATGTAGAACAGTGCTTTTAAAGCTTCCTTGTTCTTTCTGGGGGTTTTTTTTGGAATATCTCAGCTTTAGAAAGAAAATGACGACTTTTAACTGTTTTGCTTTTTGTGTCTTTTAGTATGTTGCTCTCTAGTATCCAGATTGTCCGGAATTCTGCATCAAGACTACCTGTGTAGAAGATAATATTGTACAATTAAGCATCGATCTAGGAGGGAAAAAAAACAAAAAATATTACAAAATACTTTGAAATCTAAACAGAATAATCAACAGGAACAACATATTTGATGCAACCCTGAAAACATATACCATATTTACCATGGTTTTAATGTGTAAACCGTTAAGGCCGACAACTTCACATTTCTTTTTCGAGAATGCAATGATGTGAAAACCCTTCAACTTTTATATCCTACAGGACTACAGCTTGCTGTATGAGGAAGCACGATATTTCCAGCTGCAGCCCATGCTTGCTGAGCTGGAGCGCTGGCGCCAGGACCAGGAGCTAGGTCGGGTGTCCCGTCCCTGCGAGTGCTTGGTGGTGCGTGTTGCACCCGACCTGGGTGAGAGGATCACACTCAGCGGTGACAAGGCCCTGATCGAAGATGTGTTTCCAGAAATCGGAGACGTTATGTGCAACTCCGTCAATGCTGGCTGGAACCACGACTCCACACACGTCATCCGGTTCCCACTGAATGGGTACTGTCACCTCAACTCTGTCCAGGTTTGTATCCATCTATCTTGAAAACATAATAATTGATTGCAGTAATGTTGTGCTCATTTAGCCTTTTTATGTCTTAAAAAATTAGTGATGTCTGATTGCAGGCTTTCTTTTTTTTATCTTTTTTAATCCAATCAAATTACAAGAACAGCCTCGCAGAAAAATGGGTGCTTTGATGAGTTCATCAAAGCGCTGATTTAGAAAGCTATCATTACACAAGTCTACCACCATCTTTACTTTCTGTGATTTGTATGGAATAATAATGTTGACTGTAACTGGAGAGCTGAAAAAGGGCTGAGCTTCAGTACTAGCCATTGATGTAACACTATGTTTTTGGATGGTTTTGAACATATAACATTGCATTACACAAAAATGAAGGTGTAGATGTGCTTCATATACCAAAAAAAAAATCAGTTAATCTGGACTTTTGGTTTTACATAAAGTTTGAAAGATCTCAGTTCAACCCATTACTTCAGGTGAAACCATGTCTCACAACCTATAAACATTTAATTTTGGTCTCTTGGTCTAAAAAGTCATTAGATTGGCCAGAGTCTTCCACCATGTGCTAGATGGTTTAAAGACTGAAAACAGAGACCAGAGAAGCTGAAGGAGCCTCTCAGCCCATTTCAAGTTTGTTGTGAATTATTTGAACAATGATGACCAAAACGCCAGCTTACAGTGGGCATTAGGGCCAAACTAATGATGAGAAAGTTGTTAATGATGGGAGTTTTACATAGTGGAACAGCTGAGACCTTTATCAGTGGTGCAAAAGGAAACTGTAAGGAAGAAGAAAGAGGAAGTTCAGCGTGTAATGAAAACACAAGTCAGTAACTCTGAGTGTCTTAGTGGATCAACAGATTGACGTCCAATTTAAAATAAAATCAAGACTTTGATGGTGTTCTGTTCAAGTATTGTTTCTGCGTATAACATCCCAAAAGCATTTGGCAAGATTTCCTACTAAGAATTGGATGCCTTAGTGAATGAATACCAGCAATATCTTGAGGTTGTGCACTTCTGATATATTAGTTTATCTTTGTTTATTAAAGTTAACTTTGCCTTTGTAAACTCTTATAAGTTATTAGGGGTGTTATAAATCTAAGGGTTGGGAGTCTATTCGAACACCATTCATTACAAGGAGATAGAAAATAAGTTTGTTGTAAGAACTAGAGGTCAAGTTTCAATTTGCTTTCTATTAAAATATGATCCTTTCCCAGGAACTGTGTTTTTACCTGAAACTAATACATGCAAAACTGAAGCTTTTAAAAAATAGGTGTATGCTGCACACACAAGTAAGCCTTTACTCAACAAAACACTCTTTTTGTGTCAACCTCCATTGTTATTGTCTGCATGTATTTGGCAATCCTGCATTTCCCAGATTATAAATTCATACTCCAATAACTCATTGATGGTAAAATCCTCAGACATGCATCCATAAAGGATGAAGTAAAGGCATATTTGAAAAGATTTTACAATGATTTTGGACTATGTCTCCGTCTGAGGAAGTCAAATCACCGCCTCCTTCCCAAAAAACACACACACAAACCAGACTCTGGAGTGTGTGTGTGTGTGTGAGTCGTGGAGAGCAAGCAAGAGAGTGAGCATGCTCCCTAGCAGGTTGTCCCCAGGCAGGGCCCATAATCCTGTTTGGTTATTAAAGCACGCCGGCGGTGAATGCTGTATCTGCGGCTAATGGAGGCAGGGCGGGGGGTTTGAGAGAAGGAAGGGGAGCAGAGAGAGCTGCCAGCAGTAGGGGGACCTTTGTAGTTTTGGTGAAGGCTTGGGCCTGGGGGAGAATTGGGGAGAGGGTTTTTTTTTCCTGAGCAGCCCACACTGAGCCAAGTGGCAGAGAGAAAGCCTCACTGCTCCCTGGGGCCTCTTCGATGGAATGTGATCCTACAACCCCCCTGGACACGTCTGTAGATGTCTGCGAGGCTGTGGGATCAGGAACAGCTACACACACATAGACAAACACACATATACACTAGAAAACAATGAAAATGAGGTATGAGGCAATATGAGAGGCTCTTGGTTTTGTGAAAGTCTTGTGAAAGTCCCATCCAAATTCCCGTCACAAGCCGTATGTTGCTGCTACTTACTCCCAAAGCTGTTTCCAATGCTAGACTAAGGCAGCAGCACATAATTGGAGGAGTTTTGGGTGATTGAATGCTTTTCAGCTTTGCAGCAGTAAACAAAAGGTTGTGGTTAACAGTTTAGCATCACTGTTGTAGCGACTCCCTGACTGGCTTATCACACTGACTTTTACCAAGAAATGACCAACCGTGTGCATTTCCTTCTATAATCAATATCTTGCTTCTGACATCCTCCCCCCTTCTATCTTGTTCCACATTTCCCAGGTTCTAGAGCGTCTCCAGCAACGTGGCTTCGAGATCGCTGGCTCCTGCGGCGGAGGCGTGGACTCATCCCAGTTCAGCGAGTACGTCCTGAGGAGGGAACTGAGGAGGACAAGTCAGCGAGGGCCCAATTCAAACAGGATAAAGCAGGAGCAGCTAGACTAGAAGCCTCCCAAGCAGCAGGAGGTGCTAGACTTTTCTGTGGCAGCCAAACGCTTGACGCTGCAGAGCTCTGTGGACTCTGTTTTTCTTTGTTCCCTTGTTGATGTTTTTTGTTTTCTTAAACTTGAGAATCATCTAAAGAATAAAAATGAAGTGCAACAGGAGATTTTTTTTTTTTTTTTTTGCCATAAGAAGATACAAGATATTTGATAAGTTTGAGATTGTCCCCCTAAACCAGTTTAAAAAAGGATTTATATATGCTGGATCCCCAAACAAAGTTTGTTTTAAAACTTGGAGCCTACATTAGGTTGAATAGGAGTCCTAATTTTCCCATATAAATTAAAAAGAAAAGAATTTGTTGCTGATTTTATGTGTTGCATAGCTTTTTTATTTGTATTTTTTTCGACCAGTGACTTGATTCAGTGTCGCTGGCATATTGGTTAAATCAGCTTTTACCCCTTGTTTTGAAAAGGTCACTAATGTGTTGCTTACAGTGCAGAATGTCTTCGTTGTCATAAACAGTTAGTCTCAACAACAGCATCTGTTTTTCATATAATAACATGACGTTAAATAATTACGACACCAATGAAGTGTTTTTTCTTTAATTGCTTATTTTATTGGCCTAAGTCAAAAAATACAGTTGACATCAAAATTTAACTTCAAAGACTTTTATTTATATATATATATATACACACACACACATGTATGCAGTAAGGAAATAGAAGAAGCTACTTTCGTCTGCTCTCTTATTCACAAGGGGTCACCACAGCGGGTGGCTCTGCATGTTTGATTTGACAGATTGTTCTTATTCCGGATGCCCTTCCTGCCACAACCCCAAAAGGGATTTGTGTCTCCTCAAACTGGGGATCTTTCTTTTGTTGGGCAAATGTGTAAACCACTACACTATGGAGCCGCTAGATGCAGTAAGGAAATCATTTTGTGAATTATTATGACACACCATTTGCCTCATCAGGGACTATGAGCTGCAAACCCCCCGCGTCCTACTTTGGGAATTATTTAATTGGATCAAAAAAAAATTCCCTTGAGTCATGACCTGTAAATTTTCATCGTATATGTGTTTGTGTTTTTTACATTTAAACTTTTTAAAGGAAATTTTGTTGCTTCAGACATGACTGAACAGATTAAAAGCTTATTGTACTACCCACTCCAAGATCACTTTTATTTGTAGCACATATTCATATGAAGTTGAATATAAAGTATTTCTTAAATAACTGACCCACCTATGCTCCCTAGATTTGAGTAAAGAAGAATGTAGCAAAAAAAAAGTGAAATAAATCTCAGCTAAAGTAGTTATGGTGTCTGTTCACAGTTTTTACTTTGCTGCAGGGACTGCTTTCACATGTCTCGCAGCAGTTAATTAGTAATTCCATAAATTTGATTTTGCTGCATCTGTTGTACCGCTCGCAATTATTTCAAGAAACCTGAATGTATTTATGGCAAACATGATAAAAAAAAAAACCCAAAACATGACATTATGTAGTGTCTTTGCTCTTTCCAACCAGAGAGGTAAAGCAAACTGCCGAGGCAATATTATACCTTGGAGGATTTATGCTGGTGCATCAGTGACTACACAGGGCATTCTTTACTTAGTTATATTGAATAGAGCCGACTTCTCCACGCAAGTCCTGTCAGTTGTACTTCCACATATTCCTGCAGGGTCAAAATCCAAAGTGAAATCCCACACGGAGCCATGTTGTCTTGTCTCCATCCCTTTTGGCAGAATCTCCACTTTCTTTGGCTATCTACAGTTTATGCTATATGTCTCCCTTTCAGGCCCCTTTGCCCCAGATTCCCTTTTGATTGACTGTTATGCTCATAGGCTAGAGGTGCAACTGTGAGTGGTTCAAAGCAATGCTCTGTTCTCAGTCATAAAATCAAAAAAAATTCCTGTGCACGTGGAAGAAACTATCAACTTTCAATTAAAAGCACTAGAATTCACTCAATTAAAACTTTGTGTTTAAGACAATAATGGTAAATGGCCTGCATTTGTATAGCGCTTTTCTAGTCCATAGGACCCCAAAGCGCTTTACACTACATTCAGTCATTCACCCATTCACACACACATTCACACACTGGCAATGGCTAAACATTCTTTTAGCAAAGCTAAATATAATGCTTTAAATATTTAGCTCTTTTAATTTTTATTTCAGTACTCATTATTTAAAATGACTGATCATTTTAAGCAGAGCCATTTGCTTTGTTCTTGAAAGTTAAATGAAAAGGTGACATCTTGGCCAGGATATATTGTAGATACATTTCTAAAAGCTAAATCATGATTGGAAGAGGTGACCTTGTTGGTTTCTAGATAGATGGGCATCACCCAATTTACAGGAACTTTACTTTGGTGCAACCAAAGCTTACTCAGATTGGTCTATAACACTCAGACTACGAATACACTACAAACCAGAAAGTTTCCACTACCACCAGTCTTATCCCTCCCCTACAGGGTCTGGATATTCACACAGATAGTGGTTTATAACATTTAACACATAGCATAACATATAGCAACAACCTGGAACGACAAAGTACAAAAACCTGCAAAACCAAAAGCCTGTTTTTACTTTACAGGCCAAACAAAGAACTTAATCTTTACATTTTTAGGATTGACTTAACATGTAGATGTTTACACGTAAAAACATGTAAATATAGACATGTAGTTATCTTTGTAGGTGCTGCTGGATAGATTTTGTATCTACCGCTAAGCTAAGCTAAGTTAAGCTAACCAAACCAGCTACTGGCTGTAGCCTCATATGCATCGCATGAGAGTGGTATGCCTTTCTCTCAAGTATTTCTATAGTAACTAGAGCATTTTTTTCTTTTAAAAATATGTTGCTATTCTTAAATAAGTTGTAATTTTATAGGTATATTAATTTTCTTATGAATAAAATGTTATTAAGGATAGTGTCACTCAGTAAACCAGTGAGCTTTATTTTAAATTCTGTAGCACTCCTACTTTTTGTGCAACATATGTGATTTTTGTTCTTTAAGTTTACTACCTGTGGGGCAGCCTCAGTATAATGAGACCTTGTCCATCCCTATCGCTTTTCACTTCCTGGATTTAGACTAACTTGAAAAGGAATTAGAGATATCCTCCTCTCAGAACGCATTATGCTGAAGAAAAGATGAATAGTATTAAAAACTGACTTCCAGTTCTTTAAAGGGCAGTAGTTTGGAGGAGAATAAAGTAATCTGGGATCCTCCTCCTTCTTCTGTGGCGCCTCTGTGATTATGTCTCTTTCACTTGCTTTCTCTCTAGTGATTATTTCCAGTCATCAAAAGGCATTGCAGGGCCTGGAGAAAGTGGCTGTGGCCATCTTTCCCTCAATCCCGAGGCTCTGCTTACTCACCACTAGTGAAGGTCAGTGGATGGACTCATTCACCTCATCTTCAGATCATCAGCCCTCGCAGTGCTCAGTTCTACAGCCTATAGTGCAAGCAGTGGCTCCAGTTCCTAATGAATATACAAACTAAACAGACTTATTAGATCATGTACGCTGTACACCATCTTCCTCTAGCTGCAGTCTTCTCTCTTGTTCTGTGTTGATCTGTAGGTAATATTTTCTACCGTAGGTGCCTCCTACCTTTATTGAAAAAGCCTCTTGGCCATTTTATGCCAGCAAGATAATTATAAATGTAACCTATGGCAAAAAAGAAAAACACAACTCCCACATCTCTCCCTTGCCATTTCTCTCTCTCTCTCTTTCTCTCTTTCTATTTCCTTCTCTCTCTCTCCCTCCCTTCCTCCCCCAACCTCAGCCTCAGGAGCTGATTTCAAATTTTCAAAGATATCTCATAGTGAGGCTGTGAGATTGAAGGCTCATAAATACCTTTATTATAATATAATGGTCACATATTTCCACCCATTATTTCTGGTGGAAAAGAATAGTTCATTGGTGTGATGAATGTCTCGCAGTCTTTGGTACTTTAAATGTTTTTAGTTGGACAATCGCCGGTAGAATAATATCTCAAACGGACACTCGCTAGTATAATGATATCTCATTGTGGCTTTGCTTCAGTTAATAGCCATTCTCAACCACTGGATGTGTGACATTGCTGACCTTATTTATCTGTTAAAGTCACAAGGCCCTGTCCGTCATGTAGGTTTTGGGAATGCCTACTTTCCAGTAATCTGGGACTATGTAAATATGCTGTCTTCTGGTTCCTTTTTTTTTTCTTTTATAAGAGGAGTGATGGACATTGCTAACGAGGCAGACTTGGTAACATTTATGTATCACTATTCCCATTGGCACAAGCCTGACTGCATGTGCTCACATTAATGAATAGGTGTGTACAAGATTACCACTATGGAATGAAAACAATCTCAAGTCTAATCAACTTCATTTCAAATCTGAAATAAGATTAAGACATTAATCCATGAGGCAGTGTGCAAGGTGTATGGGCAGTTGCTGCAGCACACAGTGCACAGACTCTGCGTTTATGCACAATGTTGATCGAGTGAATTTTTGGGTGAACACTGACAATTCCTATTCCTGTATGTGCAACAAGCCATTTGCACTTCCGAAGAATCATGTGCAGACCTTAACTCTTTCCATCACTGTCATAGATTATATGGACCAGAGTACTGGGCCACATTACAAGTACAGAAGGCACCCAGTCATGGAAATCCATGCCAAAAGACCCTGGTTCACAGTTTTTGTGCTGCTGTTAATGTCAAAGTAGGTTTTAAAAGCTGCACTTAGTGGTCTGCCACTTTGTGGCTGAATTACTTTGGTTTCTATATGGTTCCACTTTGCAATAAGACTGCTCACCGATAGTTAAACAAACTGACTTGTTGCAGTTTTGTCATCCTATTACAGTACTGAGTGAGCTCTTTAGAAAGACCCATCATTTCCACAATTTTTGTATGGCAATGAGCCTGAAAGCACCTGAATTCAGATGAAGAGGTGTGGCTCAATTCTTTTGTTTATATAGCGTATATGCGAATGAAGCTATGAGGGACATTAATGAGAGAGTTAACAGAATTATGATCCAGTAATTTATGATAAGTACTTGAGACTTAGAATAATTTTTTTAGGTTCATATGACTGCATTCAGCTTCATCCAGACATTTCCACAACTATAATGGAGCCAAGGTTCAGGTG